AATTACTATTCGGACTTTGTACGTGAACATTCCAAGTCTCCGTGTAACGTTTATACCGTCATCGGTTAGGCTAGTAAAATTTCATTCTATAATGAAATAACTAGGCCACAACCCTGTAAAAAGCAATGTCGGTCGTACAATTGTCAAAATTTATACGTCACACAATAAACATTTATTACATCATATTAGTGTGTTTAAGACACAAAATATAAATTCATTAAGAGACAAGGAGTAAATAACACAAGGTTACAAATTGTTCCAGTCTTACTTTTTCCAGCCTCTAATTTTTGGACGCCAGCGTCCAAAGGATGAAAGTATCGGGAAAGACGGTGTTTTTTCATTTTTTTCATTGGTGACTAAATTTGATCCCGTCATCCATTCCCGAAAGGTGGACCTATTATTGACGTCGCTAACAAATACAAAATCGACTATGTGAAAAATTGGATTGACTACGTCATCCCCAATTTTCACAAAGTCGATTTTGTATTTGTAGCGCACTCAATAGATAAGGCACCTTTCGGGAATGGATGACCGATAAAATTTAGTTCACCAAATGAAAAAAATGAAAAAACACCGTCTTTTCCCGATACTACATCCTTTGACGCTGGTTCAAAAATTAGAGGCTGGGGAAAAAGTAGAGACTGACAATTTGTAACTGTAAGGTTAATTTACTCTTGTCCTCTTAATATTTATATTTGTGTCTTAAAACACACTAATTATGTGTAATAAATGTTTATTTGGTGGTGACGTATAAATTTTGACAATGTGTAACCGACGAACATTGCTTTTTTTACCAAGGTTTTGTGGCCTAGTTATTTTCATATAGATAGAATTCTAACTTAGCTACCGATGACGGTATAAACGTTTTTACACGGAGAACTGGAACTGTTCACGTACAAAGTCAGAAATAGTTAATTGTTGGTCCTCCCCCAGGTGTCTGTACTCTGTAGACAAAATTTATTCGAGAAGACTGGAATCGACCGTAACACCCATATATAATTACGACGGGTAATACCCTGTGTTCGTTAAAAGTGGGTACATAATTAATATACAAATTTTAAACTCACAAAAAAGGATAGGGATTTGGAGGTCCTACATGTGATCAAATTATGACCCTGTTGAAGATTAATACCCTTTATGCTTTTGCAGAATATGACCATTGATTTTTGATGTACTAAGGGAATCTCTGCCACGGTAATCTTGTACAACGGTTTTGTGTGTATCGGTCGTACACGAAATCAAAGACCCCTGCCACCACCCCTCCCCACCCCCACCTTGGGCAACGGCCATGGTCCAAAACCTATCAGACGGCGACATAAGGTACAGGGTAAAGTTCAGGACCAAAACTGTGAGTCCTTTGCCCGCACTGGAGACGGCGTAAGGTTGTAGGTTAGTGTCCGAAACTCCCTGATTAGTGTCCCAACAGTTTGTATCGCCTCCTTATGAATGAAGGCGCGCACATTTTAAGAGATTTCCGTTGAAGATACTCGACGAGGCCTGAGAGCCAGCTGACTGCCTGAGGTTTACAGGGCTGTAATATGTTTAGTTATGTTATTTGTGCTTCCTATTAAAACTAGAATAACAACTCATTTATTGTGACACACCCAAATCTTTTTATGTATGTTGTACATCTTTCATGCTCAACCCCTCACTCTTACACAACCATAAATGGGGACCGTAATACGGTACGAATGATTATTTCGCTAATACAAGTCAACATACTTGAGATAAATGTTACATAAGTGTGCAAATCTATCCAAGTATTTAGTTGCTAACTGTTTTACGTCACTGTCTTTTGTTGGTACACAATATCCGTAATAAAGCTCAATTCATTCTCCGCCAATTTATATTTCCCCGCTTCCGTAAATAAAAGTATGTCTAGTCGTTCAGTTTCGCGCGAAAAGTTTATTTGCCGTTCCATGTTTTATAGTTTGTCGAAAAGTGTCGGAGATGATACTTGAGCTCAGCTGTTGTTCACGTATCAAAGTATAGCAAAGGAGTAGTAGTATAATGCGACAAAAGACTATGTACAATGGTGAACATGTAAGTGTGTAACAGTAAATCGACTTGCGAAATAGGTTTCGCTGATGTTATTCACGGTAAGCTGTGCCTTCTAGTGTCTTGAACTCTCTTTGTCTCTAAGTATATTCAATGTAGTCCACAAGTATCTCGGTTTGTAAAAGTTCACGTGAGTTTGACCGAAATCTATTCGGTGCAGAAGACAATCAGCATATATTCACGAGACGAAGGCAATTAAGATAGAGAGATTCACCTCAGAGTTCGTCTACTCAAAAGTCAGACTTGCTTCTACATATTCGAAAGACGACAGGACTAACAGTTACCCCTCGAGTAGGTGGTAAAACCTCGGGGTCCTAAGGTTGTGCACAAACGACTACCCTTGACCCAGGGGGGAGGTCACGCCCACGTCGCTACGTCATTTCGACTACGTCTCGAGGAGAGACGACGCGGTTACCCTTGAGACGCCGGGGAGGCGTCACGGCGCCAGCTCTCGCTGCGACAAAGCGCCGACTACGCGTCTCGCGTCACGTGGGCAACGACCGCCACACCTGCCCAAAGTTGGTACCAGATCGCTACATCCGCCTGCCCGCTGTCTGAGAGTGAGCAGTGTCCGTACCCATGTCCGTTCATGGGTCCACGAACTTCCACCTAAGGATCGTCAAATGACCTTCTCCGTAACTTCCCTCCGCCTCCTCGCGCACCCACCCGTGTTCTGACACAACACCTTCCAACTTCTGCGTCTGCTCGGCGACCGTAAGAGGAGAACAATAAAACTGCATACCGAAATTCGCACAGCAACGAGATTACACAGACAAGCCAGTAAATGAATAGCGGCGAGCCGTGTGTTGAGTAAATAACACTGGTTTAGAAAATAATACAACATTAGAAGTACGAGTTGGGAGTGAGAATGTGTTGGTATTTACCCTGCATTATGCACATGTTACTAATAAAGGATTATGTTATTGCATGAACTCTATTTACAATGTATTCACATTAATAGTTCATAATCAACGAATGACAAAATGCAGTGACACGAAAACACCCATTGTATAGCACTTGTTTGAGTAATAAGAGGCAGTTAAATATAAAGGCAAGGCAATTTATTTTCATACACATCAGCAAGTCAAAGCGCTTTAAATAAACGGAAGTACAAAATATAAACACATTTTCACATTACTATGAACTCGGGCGAAACAAGTGCATAGTTTCGTATCGTTCTCATATATAGTCTTTTATAATGTTACATTTACATTACATTACATTTAGCTGAGGCTTTTATCCAAAGCAACTTACAATAAGTGCATTCGACCAAGAAGATACAAACTTGAAGAAAACAGAATCATATAAGTATATCAGGTTTCATAGAGCTAAACATTTCAAGTGCTACTCAACTGGCTTTAGATAAGCCAGTCCTTTGTTAGTATATAAGTGCTTTGTTAGTAATTCTATCGCTCGAAGTGGAGTCTAAAGAGATGAGTTTTCAGTCTGCGCCGGAAGATGTGTAAGCTTTCTGCTGTCCTGATGTCAATGGAGAGCTCATTCCACCATTTTGGAGCGAGGATAGCAAACCCACGTGTTTTTGCTGATGGGAACTTGGGGACCTCACACACACTGTCAAACATACATATAACAAAAACAATTGATTCCTTTTTTGCCTGATATGTTGGTATTATATAACCTGCAATCTGGAAATCTGAACTTTAGAGACACATATTTGCCTACCTGACAGAATGAGGAACCTAAAGTTAATGGATCCGTTTTTAAAGTGAGACTAAAACCAAAATCATGATCTTAAGACTGAGTCTGAGGACTAATGCATACACCATTGCATTTAACTGAAGATGTACCCATAGATTCTTGATATAAGTGTACCTCGTTCATATATTTGTAAGAATTAAAAAAATTCTCTTTACGTTTGACAATGTGTTTGAGTTATATAAAATCAGATATTCAAATGTGTAATCTGACATCATGTACCTTACTTTTACATTATAGCCTACTTCTGACAGTCAGATTTGATCATTACTCCCCGCCTGATCGCATTCACTGTAAAGCACTTTTATGACAACAATGATCAACTTAATTACTCGCTAGAATTACATGAAATAAAAGTACAAGTTTGTGACGTCAGCAGAACACTCAGACAACCTTAAGTATTAATGTTATCTGAGTAAGACGATATGAACTTCTCAAACTGCCAAACTATCCTCAGCTGTAACATGCTATTATTAGCCGGGGCCTCTATTAACGAACTGTGAAAAGCTTAGCTCGCTTTTCCAATGAGCTAATATCCTGGGAAAGCTAGCTTCGCAGAAATAGTAGAGACATAACAACTAAAAACGACTCACCTTTCACTACACGTGCAGTGGAGGCTGTGGGCGGAAGTAAACAAAAGTCACATGACAGGTTTCCTCATACGTCACGTAACCGTGAATCTCCTCCATTCCGGCTCTGGTTCAGCTTTACTTAATAATGTCATATTCATGAAAACAGATGGGCTGACTGACTCCATACATAATTTAAACATTTTAACCAAGAACTAAAGCAATATAGTAGCACTATTAAAAACATTCTGAATAAAAAGGCAATTACATCTAATTGTGTGTTTGACAAATATTTAAAATGAAATATGAAACTGTATATTTTCCTTTATTTTTTAATGTAATTTTCGCTACCCCTGATTTTTTTTTTAATGCAAAATATATGATTTCCATATATTCTTGAATAAAAAAAAGAAGAAGAAAAGGGAAGTGCATTTTGATCAACATTTTGAACATTTTAACCAAGAACTAAACAAACAAAAATAACACATTTTGTATTTGACAAATCTTTAATCTGAAATATAGAACTGTATATAAATTGTTGTTTTGTTTATTTATTTATTGCCTTACATGAAAAAAATAAACCGGACGAGCCAAAATGGCGGCCAGAGGACCACAGTTTCCACTACACAGGACACTTCCGTTTGCACATGCGCATTAAAGTCAACTGACAGAAACAAGAAGCTCTCGGCTGTTTTTATGTTGTTGTCCTCGACAGTATTCTCTATTCCCCGTTAACGTACAGCCTTTAAACCCTGGATTTTAACACAAAATAGACACTTTATTTACCATGGGTGCCGGACCGAGCACCGAGTCCGAAAGGGAGCCGCTTCTCGTCCCTTCTCATGCGGAAACAATAACAAACAGTGCCCCAGTAAACAGCCGAGTGTACGGCAGAAGATGGCTGGTTCTCACCCTGTTCTCCCTGCTGGCTCTCATGCAAGGGATGGTCTGGAACTTCTGGGGTCCGATCCAGAATTCAGCCGTTCACGCTTTCGGTTTCAGCAAGTCTGACATCGCGGTTCTGGTGCTGTGGGGCCCGGTGGGGTTTGTCCCCTGGCTGTTGTTTATGTGGCTGATGGATAAAAGAGGTGAGTTTTAGGTACACTGTGTTCCTATCCTAACATAATGTTGTTCTCTGATTTTCCACCAAAATGTATGATTTGTAAATATGTTTGATGACTGAATCTGTCAAAAGTGTGTTGCTGTTGCGTGATATCCGACACTTGATAGTCCTATCTTCCCACAGAGGTTAGATAATGTTGAAGTCTGGTGGATACACACTGTTTTCTTATCGGTAGAGGTGGGAGAAATACTCAGATATTGTACTTGAGTAAAAGTAGAAGTACCAGAGTGTAGGAATACTCTGTTACGGTAAAAGTCCTGCATTCAAAATGTTCCTCAAGTAGAAAAGTCATTAAAATATACTTAAAGTACCAAAAATAAAAGTAGTAATTGTGCAGATTGGTCCATAATATATATGATATGTTTTTATAATGATTGATCATGAAAGTGTTCTCAAAGCTGGTAAAGGTGCAGCTAGTTTGAATGACTTTGTATACTGCAGGGTAGCTTGTGGATTTACTCCAGGTGGAACTAAAGTCTGATTTAACACTTGATTATATTTCACATCATTCATCCACATCTGTAAAGTAACTAAAGGTATTAAATACATGTAGTGGAGTAAAAGTACACCATGTACCTCTGAACTGTAGTGGAGTAGAAGAACAACAATGTAAATACTCCCTCAAAATGTTACTTAAGTACAGCACTTCAGTAAATGCTCTTAGTTGCTTTAAATTACTGATCCTATTTTGGTCTTCCTCTTGTCTGAAATCCCCCCCAAAACTCCTGATATGTTAACTTAATATGTTTGACGACTGAATCACTGAAAAGTGTGTTGTTGTTGCTTGATATCAGACACCTGATACTATAGTCTTATCTTCCCACAGAGGTTGGTTAGTGGTAGTTTCCTCGTAATGTATGTTGATAGTTGTTTAACCACACAACCTTCAAACCTCTAAATACTTTTATGAACGCTCATGTTTCAATAGCTTTTATATCATATCAACAGTGTAATGCAGAGGTGGAAGAAGTATTCAGAATGTTTACTTAAGTAGTACTTATTTACTACAGTATAACATATAAAATATACTTTGTTACAAGTAATCAGAATCTGAATATTTGTATTCATCCCACAGAGGGGACATTTACATTTGTTACAGCAAGTAAAGAGCCAAAGATAGCTTCATATTAATTAAGAAAAGCATGCATACAAGTACCGTAATTTTCGGACTATAAGCCGCGCCTTTTCCCCTATTTTTCGACGCTGCGGTTTATATAACGGTGCGGCTAATCTATGGATTTTTATGAAATAGTCTCAGGAAAATTTTCGGCGCTGAACTCGAAGTAAAGGTGAAGTTAACCCCCTGCTCGAGGAAAAAGAGTGGAGACGTATACATCGTAATACATCTAGGATGATGAGAGGATGCACGGAGGGGTGATACACTGTTGATAAGGATATGAGGTCGAAGAGGAAGCTACCGGTTGATAATGACACTAGTAGTGGTTCAGGCAAATCCCCTTCCCTTTTTGAGGTCCCACTCGTAAAGAGGGTGATTGTCAAACCTCACACGCACAGTAGTAATGCTGTTGTCAACATCCGGCTCAGTCGGAGACCTACGTACAACAACAAAAATTTGTCGCCAGTGGTCCGAATTACGTTAAGACTTACCGACTTACTCGGCGTGACTGAGACTATACGTTGAGACTTCCGTCTTATATCGACGTGCGACCCATGTTAACTCATATATTGAAATGGCCAATACTCCACTTGCGACCTAAGTAAAATAGCTAATATGTACAATCTAAGGTAACAAATGAGTTGACTGCGTCGTCTACCCTATCGTCGAAGCGCAGTAATTTGTCCCCGAAGGATGAGGAAAAAGGGTTTTCACTTTAAGTTTTGGTGCTAAAGTTCCCGTAAAACACTCGAAAGTGCGTCGGAGGTTTGAGTTGAAACACTTGACTGTATGAATACATCATAGGTCAGTATTGTCGTTACATGATATGACCTAATAAGGTGGTTGAATCAGTCAAAGTTACTCTCAAAAACAGGAATATTTGTTTGTATAAATAAACCTCGCAAGATGTCTTCCAGTTTTTCTTTTTGTGTTCTGAAACAAAATATTACACAACGGAAACAACATTCCTTTATTCGAAGAACCTATTCGAGGAAATTTCTTTTCGGGAAATTTTGAAATTTTTTTGTGTTGTAACATACATAGAAGTCCTAAAAGGCGTCGTGCATCAATTTGATGACCAATAAAACTTGGTTTTAATGGTTATTGTGGGAGATTAACGACTACTTAGTCCTAGTGATTCCATGCAAACGTTACAGAACCTTTGATAGAAAATAGAGCGCCGAGACAAGTATCCTAGGAGCACTGACCACAACAGTCGCGCAACCATGTGACCAACGATATGACAGTCAGTCCCACCCTCCTTGACCTTCCTTGACCATCCACTTGAACTACACATGTGAGTCGTTCGAGTTAGTTTTCGCACAGACCGACAGTTCGTGAAATGTTTCACAAGCCCACAAAAACTTCTGGAACAACTTAAGTCCCTTTTCAACAACAAAAGCCGTAGTCGTGAAAATTGAAAGTGTAAGCAAGCAATGAGACTACGTGCTGTCTTCCCGTGCCTTTTTTGTGAAACGTGGTTGGATACAAGTAAATTTTTCACTGTCATCCAATAGTTATGTGACGAAAAATTCCTGGTACAGTACCATTATATTTGAACACTCACACACCGCGTCACCCGTCCCGAAAGACCACAAGCCCTAGTCCCCCAGGTGTCCAGTTTTGGGGTGACGTCAGTCGTACAGCAAACACAGGACTTTGTGAAAGTGGGGTAGAACGAGGACAACCCCTACGGGTGTCACAACTCATACATTCACCGAAGACCTCTTTCGTCAGATTATGTTCATCATTACGATTAAAAGCTCATCAATAAGTTAGGTTTATCAACGAGAACAAAAACAGCATGACGAATAATGGTATCGAACTGATGACCCGGTAATCTGAACATTAGTATAATATGTCATAAAATGAATTGAATAATTCATGTTAAAACTTGCGTCCTGAAAGTTCCAGCGACGCTATAGAGGTTTGACATGACACGACCTACACGTAAAGCAGTTAACATGTTATGACTTCGAGAAAAGATAAAAATTCATGGCATTAAAAGCCATGATATCCGGACTATATTTGGCGTCGCGCCGTATGGTGAGAGCCAAGGTGAAAATGAATAACGCGCGAATGGACAGAGTGGAAAAGGCGGAGGTCGAAAAGGACGACTTTGGGCGGGCGAATTTCCACCCCAGGCGCCTGGCCGTACTCGGGTATCCGAATTTCCACAACCG